TTGGAGTTAGGACTGAAGGCGAATCTTTGGAGACGACATCTTGAAATTCCTTTACCAAAGGATAGTACGGACCCAAGGGATTCCGTAGGATCGCCGATCCACTCCGTGCGTTCAGCACTTTCTTGGTGTCTTCCAAGACAGCTTCATCCAGAAGCGATGACGAGTTTATGTCCTCGTCTGGTCGTACAATGACCACTTCGGCCAAATCGCCTGTCTTCAAGGCACTGCCGAACTCTTTAAGGGACATCTCGTCCAGCTCATGAAGAGCATCTACTGCAGGCATAGCCTCGAGGCGGACGTCGCCATCGTCATACCGTTGACATGGTGTATAACTGTGAACTGTCGTCTACTGTAGACACACCCTGGATCAGGGTCGACGCCCGGCGTCTTGCAGCCCGCATACGGCGTCGCCGTCACCTCTGTACAGAGGTTCTATGTCTCAGTAAGACCAGGGTGAGCACGCACTCTGCGTCTGTCACTCTCACTTTCTGCTCCTTTGGAGCCCCGATGTTACCTACTCACCCGACGAAAAACTGCTAACCCCGCAGTCTTCGTCCAGTGGATACCGTGCCACTCCAAGCGCGTCTGAAGGGCCGTGCCCAAGACACCTCGGACTTTGTCCGACCACCCCATCAATGGCATGCAGCGACTGCTTCGCAACGAGAGCAGTGCTCAGTGGTCTTCGTGCCATTCAACGCGCATCGCGAGGGCCTCGCCCTCGACGCCTCGGCCAATGGCCGAGCATGTCACGCATGATATACAGCGACTGCCTCGATACTTGAGCATCGCTCAGTGGGTTACATGCCACTCCACGGTCAGTCCACGAGCCACGCTCGGGACTCCTGTCCGATACACCGTTGGTGTCCAACGACCCGGGTATTCCACTGTCCAGCACGACCATCTCTGTCCAGTGCTCTTGCCAATAGCGCTTTTGTCTCCTCGCAGAGGTAGGTTCATGACTCGCCAAAGCTCCACCAGGAGATGTGCGCGTAGCGCCCAAGGTCTTTGACCTCCAACCAATCAATGACTCATGCTGTTCCAACCATGCCATTCCTTGGATGAGGTAATACCTTGCATTCAAGTCTAAGGCTAGACAGCGTTCCACGCTATCAAAGTCAAGGAACTTGATCCCGAGGTCCACAGGGACCTTCGGGACCGTGATGCGTGTCCCCGTCGCTAGGCGAACAGTGACGATGTCACCCAGCCGCGCTTTCATCGTCTCAGCGTACAGTTGACTTCCTTCCATCGTGGATCGTCGAGTAAATTTTCCTGACGCCCCAAAATTGATGAGGATCTCCCATGGCTTCTCGAGGCCCGCGACGAACCAGATTGGTAGGCATTGGGACGATTGTTCGAAAAACCTCGACGCGCCTTGCGCAGGGGGTGACAGTTCCGCAGGTGACGGGTGTCTGTACAGACAAAATACCGTCGTGTGTTTGTGTGCTCCCTGGCAGCTTGGAGCCCTGCTTCCTCGTTCTCAGCATGGCTGAGATCCATGGGCACAGACCCGCTCGACGAGCTGTAGGAGTGTGCATTCCAACCAAGTCTTGCCGACTTGAAATTGAATTTGACATTCAATGCCACATTCTCCGCCTCTTCAAATGAAGATGGATGCACATTGAAGTCTTCCATTCTGGCCACGCCAGTGCGGAGGCTTTCCATTAAGACGGTCACTGTTGCCGCCTCAGGAAGGAGATCTGCTGCCATCCCGGCAATGAGAGTACGCATCTCTTGGACAAAGTTCACCAATTCCTTGTTGGTCTATCGGGCGACAAGGAAACACGCTCGCACGCGATATGCCTGATTAGGTGGCGAGAACACTCGTGAGAGCTGCAATTTCAGCTTCGCCCAGGAGGAAAACGCAGCTT